TCCTCGCCGCGGCCGCCGCCCGCCGCGCCACCTGTCGGGCGGGAGCCGCCCCTGCGCTGCCGGGCCTCGCCGCAGCCACGGTCATTAAAAAAACAAAACCGAGAAACGAGGAAAAAAAAGCAGTTTCCCCACGCGGGCCTGGCTGCAGCAGCTGGAGCCCGGTGGAGGTAGCGGGCAAACCGTGTTGTCAGCAGCGAGGCCCAGCGCGGTGCCGTCGCAGCTGACGGGGACGCGGGTGTCCCGAGCTCAGGCCTGGGCAGCGTGCTCCACCCGCTGCCGCTGTGCCGCCAGTGTGAGGGCGACTTCTCTGACAGGGCGAGGGCTAAAACTTGGTCTGAAACGTAAGCGGAGCTTTCAGCGTATTTGTGGAAATATGTGCAACATTAGAAGCTGACGTTACTGAAAGCTGAAATGAAGTTTAAGCTAGAAGTGGGATGTGAGGTAAATAGTGTCGCCATTTAATGGCACCGCTATGACGCAGCAAGGAGTGAGCTGAATTCATTTAGCTCTCAGGTCAGAGGTCGGCCACGCAGCTTTAAAGGCCTTTTCGGCAGTTAGATGAAGTTGACTTGTCTGTGGTAGGGGCTGAGAGCACTGCACGCGGGAGCACTCCCGCCGCGGGGCGAGCGGAGGAAGCCTCAGTCATCAAAGCCTGCCACCTCCCGCGTGAAACGGCAGCAGGAGGCTGTGGGCTGCCCGACGGGGGGAAAGTGGTCCGTGCCGCTGAGGCTGCGTCATTGTCCTTCCGTATTTCATGCTGGCAAGATTCTCTCTGTGGATACGGATCCTGCATAGCCACTGTTCTCACTGACACTGTTTTCTCTGCCTTTCAAAAGTTACGGGAAAATGTCTCTGGCATAGTTCGTGTCATGCTGGGTGCAGTTTAAATAGTGTGAAGAAATACTTTCCAAGATACTGGCATAGTAAATTCTAACAGCATGTTTATAGTGGGATAGGTATGTGGCTTCAGTTTTGCTGGTCATTTTCTTTGTGATGAGAAACTAGGGGCAGGATTCATTTAGCTTAGGTATCTGAAGTCAGCTGTTGAGGTCTAGTCTTGGAGCCTTCATAGACAGTGAGACAGGCTCCTCAAATTGTTGTTCAGCTCTTCCTAAAACATACGTCTAAGACAAGTTAACTAATTACTCACTGGAGGTGCCTGTTTTTCTCCATTGCCAAAGAAGACAGCAAGGAAGATTCCTTAGCCAGATCCTTGATTTAGACATCAGTATTTAGGTGGAATGAATAGTGTATTAGAAGGGTAGGGAAAAAATGTGATAGCAATTGTGGGGGCAACTTTTATGAAGATTACGTAGAAACAGGCTATCACAGGGAGCATCAGGAAAAAGAACTGGGAACTTAGAACTGGATTTCCCATACCTAACCTTAACTGTATCTGAAGTGCTTTAATTATGAGTATAGTCTACAGGCTATGGAGAATCCCACCTAAAGTCTGAATCTCTCTTTGGGCTGGCCAAATCGGGCATTGTAGTTAAGATCCAAAAGTGAAGTATAATGGTTTTGACCTTCACTTGTGTGTGTATGACTTGAATTCAAGCCACAGTTGCCAGATCCGTGGAACTCGTAATCTGTAAATAGAGCTGGGTGGTTGTTTTTTTAAAAAGTTTTTAAAGGTTAGAGTTGTGTTTTACCAGCACGTAAAGAAGGGGCAGATGAATCATATAAGCACACAACAGTTATAAGTGTAGTGATATTGCACTGGCACAGGTTGCCCAGAGAGGTGGTGGATGCCCCATCCCTGGAAACATTAAAGGTCAGGTTGGACGGGGCTCTGAGCAACCTGATCTAGTTGAAGATGTCCCTGCCCATGGCAGGGGGGTTGGACTAGATGACCTTTAGAGGTCCCTTCCAACCCAAACTATTCTATGATTCTATGATATTTCTAAATTGGAGGTTCTGTTTTGAGTCTGCAAAGAGATTTTATAAGGACCCTTTTCTTTCGAGATGTATGTACACATGCACAACATGTGCGTTAATATTTTCTATACCTAATTGTTATTCAAGTAACAATTCAGATTTTTTTTTCTGTAGAAATCAGTTTTCTTTAGACAGTTTATAAATTAAGTGAAATGTTGTGTTAAAAATATAGCAACTGATTAATTTTACTATACATGCACAAACCTGTTGCAGTTAACTGCACTCTTAACGTTATTAGCATCTCTTCCATGCAATAAGTATGTTCCTTAAAAATAAAGTTGATACCATTTATTTCACTACAGTACTCCAAAGTTTACAGATTCCAGAGCCACCGTGGTAACAGAAATGTTTTTGTTTCATTGTTGCAGGTGTATAAACTAAGTGTGAAAGTTTTTGCAGCTTTAATGATAGCAAAGGTTTAAATAAACCTTTACATAGCTATTATAATATGGATTGATGGCCATATTTCACTGACACAAAACAAAGCAAATAATTTCTTACGAAGGCCATGCACAATATTGCATTGATTCACTCTGAGAGTATCAATTACCCTGTCTTAATTGGGGACAATAAAAGCAAATGGTGAGGTAGTTAATCCTGTCAAAATGAATCAACGCTCTCTGTATGACATAAAGTACATTATAAAAGTTCGTGTTGTAATATTCATGTATGTTCATATGCACTATTCTGAACTCTGTCCTCGGGGAACTTGGAATTTCTACCAGTCCAATGAAGGAGCATGAGTTAAAGGAACGTGTTTTCAGTTCTGTGGTTGCTCCTACTTGCTGATGCAGTGCATTAACCACCAAAAGAGCAAAACTTGAAGAAGTTAAGGAGTATAAATTAGAATTTTATTAAATGGTTCTTTCATTCCGCATATGTCATGATATTAGCTTCATCACTTGCTGGCCATCTTTTCCTACCAAACAGCTGAGTTTGTGAATTTAAGAGGTTTAGCTAACAGGTTTTGCTCATTAATGTGCTTACTTTGATTTTAGCAATCGGAAAGGTTACCTCATGTCTCATTTAGTTTTCATTGTGCTAGTATACAAAATTTAAGTAACAATTTTGATGTGGTGATGTGGTGATTCACAGGGATTACTCTGATGAAGGAACAGGTGCCTAACAAGCTCTTCCTTTATCAGAGAGCTGACAAGTTAAAGCACAAGCTTTTTTAAAATGATAATTGGATGTATACTAGGAGGACAGGGTTTTCACCCTGGCTGTGTGTACCATGGGTAGCTTTGGCTTTTTTCATTTTCACAGTCCCTCTTTAATGCACAGTTATAAATAACATAATGTTTTGCTTTTCACCGTACTCTTTTCTCTTTTCCTGTCCTGTTGCACAGTGGCTGTGCTGTACACTAATGGGAGGGTGCTAAGTTCAACCTCAGGCAGCCTTTTCTACATAATTGGTTTAGTTATGAAACACCATACTTTCAATTAATTAGTGTGGTTACCTACCTAACTGTAGACAGGAGAAACTTGGTATTCATTTGGTTCTTCCTTTGCAATGAATGTTCGTGTCAATAATAAAGCCTTCCCTGAGTAAAATATTTATAGACGTACAGGGCATGAAACAGCACATGCATGTGGAAATTCTCACAAGTAAAACTGAATACTAAATGCATCAGCAGCTGCCTTGCTCATACACTTTATGCATGTGGTTCAGACGTATTCAGAAAATTCTATTCATATAGATACCGTTTGGGGTTTTTTTACTGTTTTAAGTAATTGTTTTCTTTTTGTTAATATATGTATAGAGCTAATGAAATTTTCTCAGCTTCAAAATATTAAAACCAGTTTATATCCCTGTTTGGCAAGGTTGTTTTCTCTATTTGGATTAGAAGACTAAATGTACTGAAGTGTTTAAATAAGCAAATTCCCACATTATGTTTGACAAAACCCCCTTTGATGCTTTTTGAGTGGTTAAACATAATATACAGAATTCAGAGTAACTGTGTGTTTCACCTGATCTTCAAACATAATACAGTATATTTAGGGGAAGAGAGAGATATTTCTGCAGGTTTTCAGCCATATGCCCAGTAAAAGATCAAATGTACTGCTGTATTTGTAGAACAAATTGAAAAGAACAAAAGCCACTGTAAATACCCATATT